GTCCGCTCTCCCCCCTCTCCGTTCCATCCCTCCACGTCTTCCAACTTCAGGAACGAAAACTTTCAATTGAGACCTGGGGCCTGGCCCAGCTCAGTCCGTTGGGCTCCACGTTCAGCTCCACGGACGCCTCGCCCACGGGACCGTTTGGGTCATGTGACGGGAGTCTTCTGGCCGTCTTCGTCGCGGCATCACCAATCCAGGCCCATTAGATTGCCGCATTGCGTCCCGTCCGTCCGTCGGCTGTTTTGTCACCGTCAGCACCTCGGCCAATCCAGACCAAGCTACTCCGTATGGAACATGCCAATTCAGTCTCCATATCGCGTCTCCGTCACGGTTCTGGATCTTTGGGGGGCACAGAATCTTCGTACGTACGTTCAAGAGAAAAACGGAGACTCTCCCTGTGCGGAATACGGGGTTTCTGTCACCAATTCTCAGTGGCTAAGTCGTCTGGCCGAATATGCGCCGCGCCTCATCTCCACGTTTTCCATCCAAAAGTCTCCATCGGCCTCGTCTCGACCTCCAAAGACTCCTCCACAGGCAAAGGCTCCTCCGCAGAGTCCACACCTCTACCCCCGTCCGGTCCTCCGTCGCGCTTTTTCCGTCAACCGTCATTCGGTACCTGACCGAAACACCCGTACACTACCCAGAGAGGATAAGCCAGAGATCTGCTACCCAAAGAGGCCTGGCGTACCTCCTCGATCTACCGTCCTGCCGGCACTGTTCCCCTTCTGGCACCCTCACAGACCGCGACGGCCTAGAACGAATGCAGCCTCGACAGCTCGCTGCCATTCACAGCGATTTCCGTCTGGTTACTGGTCACGAGCCGCCGTGCCTCTTCCCGCCGAAACGGATCGCCGTCCAGCTCGAACCGTGAAGGCAACGTCCATCAACGCCCTGTCCCTGTCGGTCCCTGTCCAGCTGCTCACCTGCCCTGCGGCCTCGCTGCTCTTCTCCGAACCTGGGGAGCCACTGGAGGGGGAAAAGACTTGTCCTGCCAGAGGGAAAGGGTCCCTGACTGACTGACTGACTCCTTGAGCTGAGAACGGCACAACGGAGGTGACAACGCACAACGAGACCACCAGAAGAAACGCTCGACTCGACTGGTTCGCCTGGTTCTCTCTGCTGTGCCCGTGACTTCGGACCAACCCAAACCGATGCTTTCTCAATCTCTGCCTCGAGGCTTTAGGTTGCTCAACCCTTCCGTCGGGACGACCGCCAATCGCTTCCCCGGAAACCCCCCTTTGAGTCTTGACGTTCACTCTACGAATACTGGGGTCAAACAGATGCCCTGGTTCCGAACGTTCCAATTTCCCCAGCATTCGTTCCCGTCCCTGAAGTCTGGATCACGAGTCGCAGGTGCCGCTGCAAATACAGTGCCCGTTAATTGAATTGCCATGGCATTGTCACCACGGGGACAGACTTGTCGCAGCCCCTCTTCCGCTTCGAGCATCTCCAAACCTACGGATACCACAGCCGCGAGGTCCCTCGGGACGAAATCCGGCCTGCTACGCGGAAGGATAGGTTTAGGCGCAAGATTGGAGGGAGAACATCTTTCGGCGACTCGCAGTGCCCGTCCGTGTCCACGAGACTATCTCTCATGGCGGCTGCATAGCCCTCGATAGTGTCGACTGCTCATAGTGGGCTGGCACCAAAGCAGCTTGCTTGGGCCCGGACTCGCGACGGCGACAAGGTCAATTCGTCGTCGCCAAATTTGGTTGCGGACGAATCGGCGGCGGCCCGTCCTTGAGCGCTGACACGGCGATGTGACATGCTCTGACCCCCTCGCTGGCTTGCGACTTTGCTGCTTGACTGGTTGCGGCAGCGCGTCTGCGCTCGCCCCAAATCGACCCCGTGATGATGCCCATCACTTAGGTCATCAACAAATCCTGCCGCTTGTCGCCTGTCTGCCGCCTGCCCGCTGCCCGCCCACGAAGCTCAGCCCTCGTGAGGCGTCAGTAATGACAAGGGACGCCATAATAACAGTCATTCTCAATGTTGATCGCAAGGAGGCATCCTATCTACAGACATGCACATCAGCCAAGCAGCAACTTGGAACCTGGTATCGATGATGAACTCAACCGCCCTGCTTGCTCATCGCCTCATTACCTACCCCGCGGTTGGTTGCCAGAATGTCATGGGATCCAGTGTTCATCAACGGGTTGGACAGGGGGTCGGGGGCAGCAAGACGCAGATGGGCGCTTTGTGGGCTCTCCCACGCCCCGGAATGAGTTGTTCTTCCTGCTCACGAGAGACACTCATGCCAACTCAGAGGTCAGAAAGAAGAAGGCCAAGACGTATGCAGTCGGTGTCAGAAGGCATGGTTGAGACTGATCGATCCTGAGGGACCGACAGAAGCAGCATGCCAGACCTTCGTTAAACCTTCGAGGCTTTCTGGTTCCTGAACCAGGGGAGACATTCGTTCCCAAACTCTCAAGCCCCGGCATGGGTCAACTGGTCACCAGGCCCCAAAATGTGCCTCGTCACAGCACCTGGGGGAACTTTGGAGAGGCTGCAATTGGACCCTTGAAACGTCACCTTTTCCCCAATGCAGTTGCTGGAGCAGTTCCTAGAGCCTGGTGTTCATTTCACCGCGTTGGTGGTCACTCGTCACTCACCTTGCAGTTCGTTTTTTCTGCCACTGGACATCGCCAAAGCCCTACAATTCAGAGTTTCAGGCTTTCAGGCTTTGCTCATGGTCCATGTGGTTTACTCATCGCGCAATGACCGCCGCTTGTTTGACAACTCACATTTTCAACTCTGCGCAAAAAGCAACGTTTGTCGTTCGATTGGGACCTTGCTTGACAACAGTTTGGTCAAGTGACGGGTTGCCTCTGGAAGCCCAAAGTCAAGCCAACGCCAGCACCCCACGTCTCGTTAGGTACCATGAAGCAAACACCGCAGCTTGGGGGCTGAAGCCACTGCCACTCTTTTCCTCTTTTCCCTCACCCTGAAGCCGCGCCACGCCTGGCATCACGGCGACTGTCAGCGCGGGATGCTAGTTCTGTGGGAGCACCCGTCCGTCCGTCACGGTTGGCGGAGCGGCCAGTACCCCTACTCTCCGTGGTCATCTGTTCACCCTTGACCCAGGGTGACTGGAGGATTCTGGCTTGCCTATCTCGCTGTATCCTTGAAAGTTGAAGCCCGATGTGCACGGCATTTTGATACGGGCTTTCGGCGCCATCGTCGATGGGGAGCTCCGCCCTTGTCAAGCCCGAATTGACAATGGCAGAGCACAATATTATCTGCCAGGGGGCACTTGTCGTGAGCGCCGTCACCTTGGTGTTCGCTTCGCAGAAAACGGTCTCCGGGGGACCACGATATCGCTTCCGCGACCATCTAGCAGTCCCGAGGCCGTGGTAATCATACGTCGTGCGGAGCTAATGGGAAATGGACAGGCCCTACGATCCTGCTCCAACTCACCCCCGACAACGGACCGAGAGACAAAACGGAACCCGCGAGTAACATGATTGTGAGAAGACGCGAACATGGTGACGATCATACGAGGCAGGAGGGAAAAAGGTATTGTCCTAGCCTCGCGAAGATATCGCTTGCGCATTTGAGAACACGCGACGCCGAAACCAACGGCGCAGTTGGAGCTAGGGGAGAGGCTTTACGAGGAATCAATCACTCTTGATTCCTTCCCAAACTCCCGGATGCCGGTGTGCATGGGTTCTAAGATGAAGGGCACGGCGCAAGCCATACTCGAACTGGGTACCCGGTGAGCATTCCATCGAAAGACCGATGGCGCGACAAACAATTGTTCGGTGCAAGTTGCGCTCTCGAGCCGGGGTGGCATATTCGTACGCATAGTGTACGAAGCAGACATGGCCAGAAAAGATGAGACGGCTTGGATCCAACAACCCGGATTATCGGAATCGTGGGATTGTCAGGAGTGTCGTTAACTGACAGGACTGTTGGTTCTCCTCCCTTTGCCTTCCTCGGCTACGACTATACCCATGGTATTGCGAGTTGTTGCGACAAGCAGGCCAACGGGGGATGGGTGAAAACCGATATCCCATGGGCCATGAACCCATGCCATCATTCACGAAAGGACGGAGCATTCACCTGAAGTTGACCTCGGCCGGGGGTGGGAAGGGGGGGAAGCGGCCCGGTTCTGGAAGGCCAACTGATGCATCCCAATCAAATTGACTTTGCTACACCTGGTCACCGGTAGAGGGATTGGGAAGGCGATAAATCATACAAAAATCCCAAGAACCGGGGACGGTGTAGACGCTCCACCACTCATGGTCCACTGCTATTGTGGTTGGTTGGGCGCAGCAGGAAAAATCGTGCACCTCGGCCTGGCTTGCGGTACTTCTTCGCTTCGCCGCACACAACTGCAAGCACACCAGGCCACCCAGGTTCCGCCAAGGTGAGGAGAATGCCTGTGAAGGTGAAAAGGTGTGGGAGTTGGAGATTGGAGAGGGGAAGGGGAAGGGTGTGGTTCTTTGAGCAAACGGGTCCTGACAAGGCATCTCCAACGACGACAATTACGACATGGCCCTCCGACTCCCTCTTGCTTTTCTTCTTCTCTCAAAAGGTTCCCAGGGGACTGGACGACGACACCCATGATGAGACGAAATGGGCCGGGTCCCCGGTTCACACTTGACTTTTGACCTCACATATCTGATTTTGTTTTTGCTACTACGGATACTCTCTAGGTCGCTGTTTGCACGCCTTGTCGGCTACTGCGAAAATGATACGTCGCATCGGCCGAGAGATTGGGAACCTTGGCCTCGGGAATATCTAGAGCATAGAGTTTGTGCCTAGCTATCCCTACGGCGCCTTCAGCTCTGGGGAGAGGTGGTGGTGGTCAGTCACAAGGTGACTGATAACATCATCGCCAGCATCTGAGCATACAGATACCAGTACGTAAGGGCGAGAGGGAAACCGGACAAAAATTGGCAGAGAAAGGGGAGAGAAATGGTGTGTGTGCCTCTGCCATCCCGGACAGCATGCAGGGATGGGTTTGTCCATCGGGCTTCCACAACGGGAAAGCAATGTGGGGGCGCGCCCTTCTCAGTCGGCGGCGGACGGGGCCGCTTCCGGCGCGCTGGGCCCCGAACTTCTTCTGTGAAGGTTTGTGTGTGTGTCTGTGAAGCAACCCAAGCTCAGGAAAGGAATTGCGGAATTTCCTAGGCCGCCCGCGGCCGGGTCAGCTGGTGATGTGCGAAAAAGCAAATACGTGGAAATCGCGACTCCTGTCATTGGCGCGAGGGAAGGCAAATAGTAGTTTAGCCAAGACGAAAGCTGACTCGAATCGCGGTAGGTACGGAGTAGGCCTGGTTGTAATCACCGGGCTTTTCGATGCGTCGGGACGTAGAGTAGGTCCCGGATTTCGGAAGATGCTTGGTGCAAGGTAGCGCGAGTCGACCATGGCGATTTGGAGGAGCGTTTGAAGCATCACGATCTCTATCGATTCACTCGAATCGACGGCACGTTTGCGTATTTGTTTTTGCTTTGGAACTCGTTTATCCATACACCGAAACGCAGTGTCCGCTTCTGCTGAGACTTGCCGTCTCATTCCTGTCTGTCGCGTTCAGTCGTTCCCTTGGCTTGATGGACAGTTTGCAGTACAACTACGTATTCCCATAGGCTACCCATACTACGTGGCCGAAGGCGGCGGTCAGATGCGCGGAGACGGAATGCACGATGGGGAAAAGCCCAGCGGCGGCTCGCGGGCCGGCGACTCTTCCGTCCGAAAGGGGGATGGGGGACGGTGAGCCCCCCCCCCCACGCGCGGTTGGACCGAGTTCCCGCCTCCCTGCCACTGCTCCAAGTTCAGAGAAAGAGTAGGTAACCCGCAAGAGTGCAAAACTGCCTCCGGCTCCGGGACAGCGTGCAACCCCCCACGCGCAACAGCTTGGTAGGGAGTACGGAGTACCTTGAAGCCATATGGCACTGGCGGGATGGCATTGGTACCGTCGTGGTAGGCTGTAGCATACCCATACACAGGCTGCACACCAACTTCTTTTGGGACCCTGGCGTGTTGTTGGGTGGGTTGGTTCGGATGTAACCGCACGGGGCTGGCTCATAGTCCTCGTTGTATGTAGGAGATTTGCAAACAGGCGCGGACACGCAAAAGGCACCGGCCGGAGAGGGAATCTGGGCGGTGTACGGGGGTACGGGTGCGGTGTAGGAGGATGCTACGTGACGATGAGGAAGGAGGTGTGGCTTCTTATCGTGGGCTATGGGGATTGGGGGGCTTCTTTGCTTTCTTCGAGAAGGATTCCGGCTTCGTGAGGACTGGATGGGGTGGTGTAAGCCGGAGATGCGAAAGTCTGAAGTATCATGAAATGATGGGGCATTTCCCAAGCTCCGAGTAGTTTTGCGCGTGGGGGGTGGTTCGGGTACTCAAATCCTCTGATAATTGCCGTTTATAAAAAAAAAAAAATTCAACATGTGTCGAAATGCCTGAGCCCTCAAGACGTGGGATAGCAAGTTCAACATTATCCCGCGTTTCATGCAGCAGTCCCAGCTACGGGGTCGTGCGGGTTTCGCTAGACTCCTCTCGACACCGAGGGATTATTTACGACCTGGCACCGCTGCCATCGATCGCTGCGAAACGGGGGGAAGTTGATATCGCCATGGCCGTGAGTTATGTCGATCAACCTTCACCTCTGCCCTCTGTAAGGGGAAGACGGGCGGTTGACCAAGTACCGAACTTTGCTATGCCTGAGCGCCGCGTTGTTTCGCGTATCAGAGGTATCGAGGAGTGGGATAGAACCAGTCGGTCCAGTGAGAACGGGAAGGGAAAACACGTGGGGAACGTGATTTGCTGCGTTGTTGCAAGCTGGTATTGTTTGCGAAATGGTAGCGGACGTTGCTTTTTCTCTCGTCGCTTGGTGTTTTGTTTTCCCCCTCTCTTTTGCGCTATTGTGCTAGTCAAGTCTAGTTGATAATACATGTACCGATCCACGCCTAACGGACGGATAACGACGACCCGTCGGCTTGGTTGTTCTCATCGCATTGGAATCGGCGTTTGGCGCGGGAGAAAAAATGGACAGGACTTGTTTCTATCACAACTCACAAGGCAATGTCTTTTTTCTTTCTTTCTTGCTAACATTTTAGGTTATCAAAGGGGGGGGGGGCCATCAAATCATGATAAATCTGGAAACCAGTTTCAGAGAATGCATGCAAAGCTGAAGAGCCACTATGGATACCTTACTGCGTACAGATGCATTCACGTCGTTCAACGGGGTGGCCCCGTTTCCCGACGATCCGGGGTTGCTTTGGCACTTTACCGACGATCTTTCAGCAGGAGGCCGACGTACGGATAGATCGAAGGCCTCTCCGTTCGGCGTCTGGCGCGCAGGGAGAACAGGAAAGGGAATGGCGGCGCCTGGAAGCGGCGGCGGCGGCGGCATGCGGCAACAGTAACGGTAACGACAACGGCGTATGACCCTTGCATTTTGATATAAAAGTGACGATCTTTACTGATACTGTTTTGTCGTCAATAATGACAGCTACCCGACGGGAGAAGCTTAATGACTAGTACACTCCAAGTGCGCAGATTGATAGAGCAGTACGGGATAGAGTTGGCGATTGCGTAGGCGCGTTCACGGTTCCGCCCTTTTCACCCCCCCCCCCCCCCCCGCTGTCAGATTTTGTTTCGGGAATGCTCAGCTGACCTACCCATCTCGTCATTTGTGACGGCGAGTCGCGCGGGACAGGCCTGAGCTTTTGTCTCCACCCGCGGAGAGACTGGCGAGCTTCCCCGGATGACAAGGGGGTAATGGGCATTGGGGGGGGGGGGGGGGTTTGTCCCTTTTTGGGATTTGTCTTCGCGGTTTGTGTGAGATGTCATTGGAGGAGGTGGTTCTTATGAGAGAGAAGAGTTTGGATGGTGGGGCTGGGACCATTCTTGGGCGATAGGATTACAATGGTTTTGGAGGGGAATAACTCCAAACGGGCGAACGGCTTTTCTTTGGAGCAGCGCATGCAAAGCAGGGTAAGAGTCGATGAGATGCAGCTGGGTCCGCGTCCGCGGTACGGACGTTATGCGCGTGACGGCATACCGGGGACGATTACAACTTGTCGTGTAGGAGTGCGTCGTTTCTTATTTCAAGTCAACCGTTCTTCTGGGGTTGCGACGTTGGCGGTTGAGATCAAAGGGGGGAGGGGAGCAAGTTCTGGGTGAGTGGTGTGGGATGTATCGGTCTTGGATTCAAGAATGGCATCGTGTGGTTATCTCCAGGCCTGCGTGTTTGTGGATAGTCCACAGTAGCCGTCCGACACTCTTGATCAACAGACAAGCTGCGGCAGGTGTGTTTGGGGAATGCTGTATTGGCGTGGGTGACGTTGCTCTTCACCAGATGTCCGGCCAGAAAGTACGCTCAAACCCCAGCTCCAGACTTCTAGCCATGTTTGTTTGCTTTTTATCAGACAACTGCCACGCTGGAGGAAAGCCAAGACATGGGGGAACCGGGGATTCTGATCCGCGGTAGTAGCCTTCATTGACCTGGTTGGATATCGTTGGGGTTGATTGTCATTCAGACGATCGACAAACAGTAGTCGGTTGTATCTGGGAATACCATTGATCGAGACATGTTAAGGGCGAATCGGTGATGATTCTTCAATGGCAATAGAGCACGGCTTGGTGCAGTGGTAGCAGCATGGCTTATCTTGGATACGGAAGGCTCGGCGGGTAAGATCTACGGACGTAATGTGCGATGCCCTGAATAGGGTAACCTGAACAGCTGAAATCGGCATCAAGCTCTTCTCGCCCCTGGAATCAAACGGGACGGGGAAACGGTGAAGGCTGAAGCACGATGACATTCCTTCCTGCAAGTCTGGGGTGGGGGAGAGCGGTGAGGGCGCACGCATGTCTATTTCTATAGTACGATCTATTGAGATCCAATGCAATATGTTTGACGCGATCCGATACGATACGATATTTCATGCAAGGCTTGCTCACCTGCACGGTACATGTAGGGTAGGGGAAACGAGTTGCAGATGTTATCCGTACCTTATACCGTAGTGGCGGAAGATCGAAGCCGGCAATGGCCGCGCAGGTTCGTTTTCCTGCAGCAGCGGGAACCGGGGAGGAGGTAAGGGGACGGACGGAGAGGGTGGGCGCGTCAACGTCCGGCGGCAGGCAAGCGGGCGGACATTTGAGAAAATGACGCGCGGGTCGCAGTGACGGCCGCGCCGGCGTCCGCCATGGCGGGGAGCGGTGTAAGTTACAGATTTGCTCTGTTTTCTGTTTGATCTTGTCGTCGGAGTTTCTATTTTCTGGGCCGGACTATTGGCTTTTACAATTATTGTTCCGTTTTACTTCGGACAACCGTTTGAATAAAATAATAACAACAATAAAAAAGAAAGAAAAGAAAATCGAAATGTACAGATGCCTATCGCCGGTAAAGGTTGCGTGAACTTCAACCTCAACGGCATGTTTCGCGGCTTTGCGGCTTGAGACCTCCCCGCAACGTTGTGAAGCCCGAGATGTCACTGATGCAACAAAGTGAGATATATGTCACCAGACCCAAGCCCAATGTCTCTAATGTGCGGGCGACGGCACGGAGGGGAAGATGGGGAGGAGGAGGAGACGAGAAGCCCGATGCTGGACCGGATGGCGGCGGGCCTCAACCCTCCGCACCCTCTGCTTGATTCATGTTCAGCCGACGAAAGGGCAAAAGAAACAAGCCATCTACGGGAGGGCTGAGATGTGCAACGCCCGCCACGGCTTCACTCGGCCTCTCAGAGTAGGGCAGGCAGGTAGGAAGGCAGGCAGGCAGGCAGGTGTAGCAGGCAAGGCGGGAAATCCGAGTCCTGTCTTGTGTGACTCGGTCTTCCCCTCTCGCGGCAGAGTCGTGGCGTCTGGAATAGGAATGAACGGTTGGATGGCGAACGTGCCTGATGATCAGCATGTCCAGAAAATTCAGGACCAGAGACTTTGAGCCTCGTTCAGCCGAACCTTTTGTTGCTTTTTTGAATGTCTTGCACTTTGTAGCTGAGTCTGCGGGTTCGAGAGTCTGAACGTGGACACTGGACTTCTTTTTCCTCACGGCACTCGGCGCGACGGGTAAGGATCTGCGGCCCGGAGTCTTGTTTCGGCCTATCACGTTTCTGAAGAGGCATGTAGACGCAATGCGAGCCGTCGAGCTATAGAGAGGAAGTCTACCAGTGTAGTTGACACCTGTCAATGAGGATGAATCGTTGAAGCTAGGGAAATATGGCAGTGATGGTGATTGTCGGCGGGCTTGGCCACCCCGCAAGCCACCAAACTTTATAGTGTCATGAACCCTTGCTGATTAGCGCCACCCGACCAATCGCTCACGTTGGAATCAATATCTGGCAAGGGGCTGTAGGGAAATTCGTCTTTCCCGCCGTTAGATCCAGATCTGACTCTCGAGGACGTACATCTCGTGACTCGAGACCGAATATCATGGCTTTGGGAGGCATGAAAGGGCTTGTTTGGGAAGTTGTAGAGAAGCAGCTGAAGTGTCATCGATGGACGGTGATTTGATGCAGCTGGAGTTAGTCCCTTGTTCTGTCAGTTGTCACCTCTCGAGGGGGAGATTAGTGAGCCACAGAGGCGGCACTGCTCAAACTTTCAGCGTTTGCACCTAGGGATTAGTCGTCGTCGATAGACGTCTCGGTAATTCGCAACTGTTGTTGTGTTGTACGGGCTGCTGAGTCGTCTGGAAAAAATCGGTCGGTACCTGGGGTTCACCACGATGTGTTGGCAATCGCAAACACGACTGGGGTGGGCTGAAGTTTTAGGCACACCAACGATGGTTTGTGGCACTAGTAAGTACGGGGAGATCAGTGTCGCTTCCCGTCCGGATACATCTAATTACTGCCATGACTTGTGACCAATGAAATCGTGTCTATTGAGGCATCTCGATGGCTGCCACACTCGTTGCTTCATCAATGGGCATATGGTAAGAGTCTTTCATATCGAGGGATGTATTCGTATCCTAGGTGGCTGATTGATATGAAGACTCCTCAAGACTCGTGACGAAGCTCGGTTGCACTTTGCCTGCCGCAGTTACGTAGACGCTTGTGCCATGGGACTGGAGACTCTGAGAGACTGCCAGATTGGCGAGGGACCAGCTCTCGGGAACGGATCTCGGAGTGGCCACGGCGTTCATCGATGATGCGAATAGTTGGGGTAATAAGAGAACACCGAGTGGTTCCCGAGCTGATGATCTGCAGTAGGCTGGTGGTAGCTTGAACATGTATGTTTGCCCGCATTCCTGTAAGGTACAGCAATTCATTGCATCAACAATGGCAAAGTGTCAAACGTCAATAGACCCAGATCGAGAAGCCTCATGAATGCCACATATGTCATTGTCGGGATACTATAACGTCAATCGAATATCACGGGTTCACCGACAGGAATTTCGTTGACTAAAATGAGAAACGGAGACTCAAATATTATATTATTTAACTCTGCGTCACAAGACAAATCATTACTTTAAGTCTATTAAATCTCATATTTAAAAAATAATCATCTGTCAAATACTCCAAGCTGGGAATGTTGACCACATAATAAGCATGAACACGAATCTCACCTAGTGACCCCAGCTGAGCCCCTTCCTGAGGGGCGTGTAAAGTGAGATGAGACGAACATGGGCAAACGAGGGCTGCAAAAGCACGGTACTGGCTGGACGGGGTAGTATGGCCAAACATTTCTTCTTCCTTTTTACCCAGTAGGTCTCCCAGCCCAAGCATCCGCGCATTCCTCACCCACTCATCTGGACCTCCTTCACCTCGGCCGGAACGCTTCCCCGGACGGGAAGGCCTGCCAGGGCGTGGCAGGCCTGGCGAAGCGGCACGCACATCACGCACACCACCACACACATTGAATCTGTCTTTTTGAGACAAGCCTGGGGTCACATTCGGCCGGAAGAGACATGAGCAAATCTCCTCTCTACCAACCTATTTCTTCCCCCCTCATTCGCAGGGGTTTCTCTGTCAGGTTTGCTCTGGAGGGTAGTGTCAGGAACGCCTCTTGCGTCGTCGGGAAGGGATGTTTCGTATTATTGGCAGCTTGGGGATGGGTGGTGGAGATGTAGGCAGGTATTTTGGCCGTTCTAGATTCGGCCGGCTGCCTATGCGCCGGCAGCATCTCTGCAAATCTCTTCGTCAACCCCTACGAATGGATACCCACGATTTACACCCTCTGTTACCGATGTTCCCGCGATGCGCGAGGGTACCGATGGACGCCGTGGATCTGGTCAGCTGTCATTTATCACATTTTGGACAGAGTTTTTCTACGACCATCCTATTCCCACGCAAACCCATAATAAAATCAATACCCAAAATCGAAAACAGCACCTGGACCGCGGGACTCGGAGGATCCGTGCCTGCCTGAGATGGAGGGGTAAGTAAGACCTACTCACGAACGTCGCCTGCCGGTTGGGAACAAAAGAGTCAAGCAAAACTACGTTTGGAGAGTCATTCGCAAGCTGAGCCGGTAAGGGGACATTGAGAATGCATAAATCAGCTAGCGACCTCTAATACTCCACTATCGAGAGATCTCACAAGGGCGGCGCCGGATGCCTTTTTTTGTTTGGGGTTCCTCATCGAACTGGAGTAACCTGATGGCATTTACATGTGGTTTAGTTCTCCTCTAGCCATTAGAATCCCGTCGCTGGATCCGACGGTCGTTGATCCGTAGGCCGGTATGACGGAGGGGGTAAAAGACAGACACGGGCGCTGTCTCTGCCTTCGAGACAACGAGGACCTGGAAGTCCGATGGGAGAGCCGCGGGGGAGAGACCGAGAGACTAGACTCACAATGACCCCTGTCACCTTCATTCGAGCGCTGGCCACACACCAGCAGCCTTCAGGCCTACTCAAATATCTATGTCCGTTTATCCTGCTGGTTGTAGGTATCGCCTTGAGGTATCTCACATGTGCAGATTGCTGCCCAGGTCTTCCTGCCATCGGATCGCGCGCATAGTCGCACGCGGCTTTTGCCTGTCAGCAATGGTGCAGGGCGACCCGTCATCTTGAGAAAACCTTCCACGTCGGCTTCTGTCATGCGTCCTCGCGGCAGCACACGTCAAGCGAAAGGTCTAGACGGGCAAATAGACCCGTGGTCTGCGCAGGCAGCCTTGTCCATACCGAAAGTCTCCAAACAAAAGGGTCTGTAGCGCACCAACCACGACGGACTTTCACGGAGGGGGGTCCGAGCACGCAAGAGAACGGCGCGTCGTTCGGTCACGGAGCGTCGCCCGGGATCGTAACGGGGTCCCTGTTCACGACAGGCGGCCGAGTCGGTGGTGAGACCGGATTAGGCAAGTGTGTTCGCGCGGAAGAGTCGAAGGGGAGAAAGCAAAAGGCGTGGTGTTGTTGCCCTGCGCGTGCTTGCTACAGGCGCGATGGTCAATTCCAGCCCGAGAACTGAGGAGGCCGGCCATTCTGGCCTCGTCTGTCCGGAGTCCAGGAACTGTTTTGCGATACGGGTGAGGCCAGCATTCCTGTACATCACTCCTATGCCGGTTTGCTCCCTTTCTTCTCCGCAGTGACGGACCTCCATTCATCGAGTTGATAAGCCGTCTTGTGTCCTCGGCGTTTGCTTAAAACCCCTTTGGCTGCTTCTCAAGTCTAGACTCACCGAAAGCCTAGTCTCGCATTACGCCCTTATCCACTTCCCCCTTTGTGTATTTGAGTAGCACGGGAATGTTTCTATCAACATCTGCGGATAGAACGGAATATCAGACCGTGGGTCGAGGCATCGCGAGCGTACGGACCATTCTCCAATTTTTTCCCTTCCCACGTCCATGAACGCGCAATTACCGGTCGCAGCTACTGCATGTCCGCCTCTTCACGTGATACCACCTAACGGTTTAGGGAGATACTGGTCATTGCAAGTTGCGAGCGAGGCCACCGCGGAGTCCACAAAATGACCGTTGTGTCCCCGGACGGAGGATCAGATTCTTGCACGATGGTGGCAAAGCCCGCTTACGCCCAGCCCCCTCTCGTGCCTCTAAACCCCGCGACTGACATCCTCTCGAGCGAGGCAACAAGGCTATCAGACTTCGGATCTTCGTCTTTACTGGGACTGGTGGATAGATTCGACGGAAGGAGGGTCTTTCGCCGGCCCACGGAGACTGAGAAACGCTAAGGCAGATCACCTCGTTCGCTCCAGATGAGAGAATTCAACACATCCGGCAATCATCTTCACGTGTCTTGATGGGCAACAAATGATGTGCGCGCGGTCTTTCAGATCGCATGTCCAATTTCTGGGGACAATCTTGCGCAAGGCGCATGATCAGCGGTGGTCCCCTGAATGGGACCGCGATGAGCGTGGAGAGATCGTCTGGGGAGGATCATTCGGGGTCCTCCTCGGAAGAAAGTCAGATCTTGGAGGTGAAGCGAGACATTGAGCATTCACATCCAACCTCGAGAAAGCGATGGCGCCGGCGAGTCGTCTGGATGTTTGACCGAAAGACATGGCTATGAACAACCACCAAACCTCCTCAGGCAGTCACCCTCCGGAGCTTTCGCCTGCGCCGGTGGTCCATCTGGCGGCGGGCCCGGAGGGGTCAGCAGCGTGACATTTTCTGCAGCCCTGTTGCACAAATCATGCGGCAGAAGGAGAATCCTCCACCAGTCGGCACCCGTGGCTAAATTGCTCGGGTAAATTTATTTGGCCACATGGCTGGCTGCCTGTTTCTCTCCAAGAAAGGTCCAGCCGCCTTTTGAACTTGTCACTACGTTATCTTCTGCGCTACCCAACCTTCAGAAGAGACGTTCGATGCAAGAAGGGTCCTGACTTGGTCCCGGGATGGTGGCTCAAGCGGTACACTACACTACAACCACTCAGAGTCGGCTGATGGTTGTTGATTTGTTGCCCTGACCGACACTTCTGCTTGACAGGACTGGACCCTTTTTTTCATGATATCCCGCACCGGGTTGCCGGACTGGTGTGGACGACGAACTGTCCCTGAGAACTAGACTGCTAGGTTGTCTCTTGAAGTTTTCATCGTCCATCCAACCTGGTTTGCTAGGCTGGTCTTTGGGGGAATCCACAGGCTCGCCTGGCTGGTCTTTCTGTGAGACCATGTCCAACACGAAATGCAAAGCCCCACCAGTGATCCGATCACATCGCATCCTCCCATGCCCCTCCCCCCGGTTCATCATGAGCGAAATCTCACGAAGGTTTGCGACGGTTGTTCAGCTACGGAGACGGCAAGTGAGGGGAAGGCATCAGCAGCACAAGCCAAGTTGGCCGTTCTGCGCATATTCAGAAAAACCTGAGGGCTCCTCATTGACATTCGAGTAAACTCCAGCTATGTACCGCAAAAGCGGAGATTACCGCGGAGAATCTCCTACAGGCCACAGCTCTTTGTCCCCCTCGTGGCAGCCCAACGAGCGACGGAGCTCCACGATGTCTTGACGCCTGAGATGGGGGGGATAAAGCGGTTTTTTTTTCTGTCGCCTGCCCCGAGCAAACCCGACCGAGGTGGGACCTGGTCATCACGAGAGGAACCGCTCCCTGGCGGCGGGGATAGCAGGTCCCTGCAGACCGAAGTGATTCCAGCCTTTGAGAGGACGTTTATTACGCAAACACCTGGGACTGTCACGCTCCCGTACCGAAGTATCTTCTCCTCTTTGTTGCGCCTGGAGACACGAGACGAGCGACAAGGGGTGAATATCAAACGGGACAAATCCCAGTTTCGAGAAAGAGGGGGAAATGGATAACGTCTTTGGCGCTTTTCTTCACAATAGTGGATTTGTCTCTCTGATGCCAGGAGAAGAAGGAGGAGAACCTGGAACTTTTTCTTCTTCCTTTCTCTCTTTCGGGGCCCGCTCCGTTAGCCATCACCACCGTAGTCGCACCGAGTTCCATTTTGTCTAGTGTAGCCTATCCACATCGTTGGGACTCTCTGTCACATACACCTTGGTCCACGAATGGGACGTTTGCCCGCCACAGAGGAGTCGAGGGGGGTGGGTGGTGATTCCCCCGGCAAAGTCACGATGCTCTGCGAAATTTCTGCGTCCAAGAAAATCCCACGAGAGGGGTTGGGTTACTAGTGTAGAGCCCACCTGGCCCAGCAAAGAGACAAGATGCCAGATGGCGTCCGCCGGGCTGCATCGTGACACGGAGGGCGGAGTATCAGACCCCGTTTCTTGGAGTCGCGGAGGGGGAGAGGGGGTGGTAGATGGCGGGCATAGTATGAGAAGCGCTTCGGAACACCCTCCGTAAAGTTGTAACGGACGAGGTCGCATTCACGTTGTAACCATTCACAGACCAAGGAAATCCTCGATTAGCCAATTCTCCAACTGACGTCTTCTTCAGCGACTTCTCTTGCGTTCCGTTTCTGGTACGACTCATCCCACTTCCGAACCAAGGAACTGGAACCGTCGCATGGGATGGTTTTGCCAACTTTGGCCGTTGAAGTGTCAAAAGTCAAGACCCTGATTTTCGTTCCTATCACCATCCCAGGAAGAACCAACTTTTTGGCCACCTAGTTCTTGCCGCAGTATGTACTATTACAATCACCTTGCCGTAAGAGGAGATTTCGAAGAAAAATCAGGGTGCAGTGGTGCACACCACAACCTGAGCACGATTCAGGGTCTGTCCTGGTCCACCGCGCTCCGGTTCTTCTTCTCATCTGATCTCGTTGGCTTTTACGCTCACGCTTTCCATTCGTCCCACCCTTCAATGACCCCCCCGGG